ATTTACGGACACATTAGGGGAAAACGAAGAAATATGCAGCCACTTCATTTTCGGTATAACAGTAAGTTCATTATTATTGTTGTTCTTCACACCGATAACCAAGGGTTATTTTAACTTATTGCGGCTACCTTTGGTGACAGTATTCCACTTGGGAGTTTGACAAGCACTTGATATAAGTATTCGCATTGACTGCAATAGGATCATCAGTCAGAACATTCTGAGCAGGTGGAATAGACGACAAAGTAGGCAAATCGGCAGCAACACTAGCATACGTTCCCTACAAGAATTGTGTGATGGAAACTAACACATTCTCATTTATCTTACTAACACATTTGCAAATTTTGCGTTGGTTAAAAAGAGACCAATATATAAGGCCATAAGTTGGAGGAAGACGGAAGATCATATGTACACAAATGTTTACATCAGATTTTTCACACTGCCCTTTAGAATGTGATAGAAACTTGTAGGTAGCCAGTGACAGAAATCTCTATCAGCCTTGCCAGTCAAATGATTTGTCAAATGATGGTCACTGTTCTTGCAGGGTTGTTTGTTTATTAGTCACTGTCATAGGGAGAGCCGATATAGTAGACGTGGCGGGCTGAGTAAGCATAGCTGGGAGAGACGACGCAGGAGCAGCAGCAGCGATGCCCAATGTTGACTTCGCGCCGACTGCTGCCTTAGCAGCCGACGAGGCTGCCTTAGCAGCAGAAAGCGAACTCGGAGCAGCAGTCTCACATGGATTCACAGTAGGCAAAAGAGCATACGTGTTAGACGACAATGCACTTTTAGCCCAAGAATGATAGAATACAAGATTGCGCCCATCAGAGAGGATTTTTGAGAATAACTTTTGTGTGACGTCACACTGGTGCAATTGCGAGAGAGCGAATTGCCAAAACGTGAGCAAGAATAGAAGAAAAAGAAAAAATGTTGCAAGGAAAACGTAAACAAGTTGCACAAGTGTGACGTCATAAAAACAACGATTATGTCAAATTCACTGAGAGAGGAATAGCGGTACCTCTATTTCTCTCAATCGTGCTTTTAGCACTTCATTACTTCATTACTCTCACTTACACCGTTGGCGCGAGATGGGTTAAGCATACGTGTTAGATGACAATGCACTTTTAGCCGAACAATTATTCGCTTCATTACTCTCCCTTACACCGTTGGCGCGAGATGGGTTGAGATTCTTAGATTTACAAACAATTGTACGTTTTTGATTTCCAATGTTAGTGTTGAAATGTCAGCGTCTTTGCAATTTAGTTTAGCTTGTATTGAGCGAACATCGGCATATAGGGCATCCGATTTTTGCATTAATTGCATTTTGTCTTCATGCAAAGAGTTAATTAGAGATATAACACGCACATTCTCTGCTCTAAGAGCGGCGATTTCTTGCACAACCGTGTTCAATGCTAATTGTAGCATATTATTGTTCTCATTCGGGTTAGAGTTCGATTTTTTTTATTTGGGAGTGTAAAGGTGTGTTTATATTTTCCTCAGAGCTCGCATTAACTGCAGGTTTAGCAACAACACCTCATCCAAAGCAGGCATGGGCAGAGAGTTAGCAGGTGCTAAAAGAGCGTAAGCGTCGCGTGTACGTATACAAGCGAGAGCGCAGCGATGAGAACACGACAGCATGCAAAATGAATTAGGCATACTAACATATTCTCGCTTTTAGCTCACGCTTGTTTGTGGTAGTACCCACCTCTGATCCAAAGCAACGGAAGACGGGAGCGAGCGAAGAGATGCACGACGCACATCCATACACACTTTACAATAGAATGGACTATTTGACGAGTTCAAATAATCAACATCGGCTGGTTTCAAGCCAACACAAAGCAAATCAAAAAACTCGTTGCAGTTTGTGCATTGCACTATTGGTTTAGCGCGATCAACCTTTTGTTTGCAAGGCATTGCTAAAGGGTGAACACACCAAAACTGCGACACTTAGAAATTACTACCAGAAACAAACTAGCAGGCTTTGAAATTATTTTTTTTTTGTATTATATAACTTGGAAGTTTAGATGTTATTAAAATGTTAAAATATTAGTTATTATTTGCTCCATATGCAAGTGATCGGTATTTTCATCGCACACGCGCCATCATGTTCTGCACGACTGCATCATCGACTTTACGCGATGCGCACAACTACTTTGTTTTGCACTCTTCAATATTTTTCACTGTTTCACCTGTTTTCTGCAAGATTTCTTTGACAATTGACCAATATTCCCCAATAGGACGTGGCTCTGGGCTATTGGGTGGATTGCAGTCGTGAGGTACAAAATTGATGTTATTTGCATTATACCACGGCAATGTGTCCTTGGCATAGTGGCAGGTTCCCACGTCCGCCTAGAACAGTGGCCTACTCCTTATCTGTTGATAAATGACAGAAGACGCCTTTTGAGGCACTTATCCCGATAAACTTGATCATTCATTGTCCCGGATGGGAAAAAAGGGCTGCTCTTACGGCCACAGGATCAAATAGCTTGCCAAACCATGTGTTTTTTTTGGAAATTTGGACTTCATTTTCAGCTTACAACTTTCAGGGGCATCTTGACGACTTGCACCAGTATAAAAATCTTGACTTGCAATATATTTTAAATTTTTATAGCAGTAGGTTTCGTAGTCCATAACAATGCAGCTGTATTTTTTAATTTAGAATTCATACAACTTCCGAATGCGGGATTTCGCTGTAACATTCTACTTTGTGCCTCGGTCTGGCGCTGTTTGAGCAGTAGACCATCTCAATGAAGCTTTCCTCTTTACCTTTTGTACGAAAAACTGCGATCTGCGTACGGATTTTGCAACATAACGCGACAAAATCTTCGGATTTCGCGAAAACGCACTGAGGACCTTCCGAGCACTGTTTTTATAACTTTGACCATGCTAACCCCCGCTCCCTGGTTTTCTCGTAACTGGCAGGCCTTATTTGTACCGATTAAAATCCTGAAAACTGTCGAATAGTGCAATCTTTAATTTTTTAGCAATTTTACGTGTACTTAAGGCCGGATCATTTATAAACTCGTGCAAAATGGTTTGTCTCGTTTCTAACTCGGTTGCCATTTTTAACTCAACTAGGAATCAAATTCAAATGAAATTTCTTCTAGGTCCAACTAAGGTCATGTGGTCAGCTTATTGTATTTGAATTTCAAAATATTGAATTAGTTTTGGGTAAGTTATAAGCTTCCCAAAGTGTCGCAATTTTGGTGTGTTCACCCTTTAATATTATTATTATTATTAAATGCCGAAAGCAATTCAATCTAATTAATGTCACCAAGAGTCACTGTCTCATTATATGATTTTTACAACATTAATAGATATGTTCACTTTAAACGCAGAAAAAAGCCAAAAATAGCAGAGCTGTAAAAAACACGTCCGAACTTTAGCGCGTTTTTATACCTTTCATGAGCATGAAATGGTATTATAACTTTGGTCCGATGTTTGTAAGTACCAGAACAAAAAGAGATAGACCCATTAAAATGTATACTTATGTGATCAGAACGTCGAGCTGAGTTGATTTAGCCATGTCCGTCTGTCCGTCTGTCCGTCTGTTTGTATGCAATCTAGTCTCTCAGTTTTCGAGATATCCGTATCAAATTTGGTAGGTGGGTGTATTTTTATAATGTATTAATCATTTGTCGGAACCGGCAGAATCGGACCACTATAACATATAGCTCCCATACAACAGATTGTTCAGATATGAGATTTTTCGTTATAACTTCTCCATTTATGCAGCTACGAACATGAAATTTTGCAGTACTTGCACCCATTATCAACAGAATACTTACAGTGAAAATTACAAAGATCGGGTCACTATAACCTATAGCTCTTATACAACTGATTGTTCAGATATACAATTTTTCGTTATAACTCCTCCATTTATATAGCTAGGAACATGAAATTCCGCACTATTTTCAATGAATATCCACAGAAAACTTACAGTGAAAATTAAAAAGATCGGGTAACTATAACCTATAGCTCCCATACAACTGATTGTTCAGATATGAGATTTTTCGTTATAATTCATCCATTTATGTAGCTAGGACCATGAAATTTCGCGCTGTTTTCACTCATTATCAACAGAAGACTTGCAGCGAAAATAACAAAGATCGGGTCACTATAACCTGCAGACCCCATACAACTGATTGTTCAGATATGAGGTCTTTTATCATAACTCCTCCATTTATGCAGCTAGGAACATGAAACTTCGCAGCATTTTCTCTCATTATTAACAGAATACTTACAGTGAAAATAACAAGGATCGGATGACTACAACATATATCTTCCATACATCTGATTGTTCAGATATGGGATTTTACTGTAAAACTTCTTTATTTGAACAGCTAAAACCGATAAATTTCGTAAGATATTTTATAAATAATAATACAAAGTCTACTGAGAAAATCATCAAAATCTATGCTGTATAAGCTTTATCTCCTATAGCACTGATTGTTCAGATACCAGTTTTTGCCATATATCTCCTTTATGTAGGAAACTAAACCCAATAAATTGTGTTACCGGTTTACATACCGATCACATAGCAGTGAAAATCACTTAGATTGGTGCCATATAAAGTATATCTTCCATACCTCTGATTTTTTAGATGCGATTTTTTATATAAGTATGTAACTCCTCTATCAATGTATGCACATGTATTCAAAAGCAGTAATCTGTCAAAGTAAAATTTGCAGATGTTCATGAAAGGTATGAAGCCTTCGGCATAGCCGAAGACAGCGCTGCTCTTACTTGTTTTTTTTTACATTACAGTCAGTTATGAGAGAGTTCGACTGAGTTGTCATTTCTACCTCGTTGAATATGCCTTCTACCTTACTCTGTTTTTATCATGATGCATACGTAGTAAAAATCAAAACGTTTTTGTGAGTTTGAGTATTCAATGTTAAAAATATTTTGTTTGGTAGTGTCAAGTGTTATAGTGTTCTTATATTATCATGCATAGAATGCCACTTTTTTATTTTAGCTATTTTCTATTTCTGTGCACTCACCCAGTTCCGATTAATGGTTTGTTATTACGTTCCCAGCGAAAACTCACTGGTAAATCCCCTTCCAGAATTTGGCACGAAATGGCAGCACGCATGCCCTCGCGCAACATATTGGTCATTGCTTGGATAGGCATAATTTTAGGGGGTACTGCAACAAAACACAAAAACAAACGTTTTATTTAAGATTACACATATATATGTAGGTATCATTAGCGCACACAAGGGGTGGGTTTTGGGGTTCAAACCCCCCCTAAAGCTAATAACCTCAAATACAATCTGTATCTTAAAGCTAAGAATCCAGCTCTCAAGGAAATTATAAGAAATATTTATTATAATTTCTGTTGCTTGAAAAAGCGCTTTGCTTTTGCTGTAAATTTTCATGAGGGAATAAATATACGAGCATTTTTTTTCTTGAGAGCTGCAAACTGATTTAAGAAATTTTGGTAGAAGAAAATTTCTTTTCTATTTCTCGTCCGTCGTTTTATATGAATTTTTCGTTTTTCTTGAGAGTTCAGTTAATTTTTTTGGTATTTGAAATATTAAAAAAATTTAGCAATCGTGAAAAATCACCATCTCTATCGAAAACCAGAAATCGAAAGAATGAACATAGAAGTGCAAAAATTCATGGAATCAATAAATTTATTTTTACTGACTCTTTTTTAAAATTTTTTATTAGGTACTTTTGAAAGTTGGGCGCATCTTGAGTTTATAGAACTTTTTATTAAGCAAGTAGTTTTTAAGGAAAGAACACAACCGACTTCAATTCTCATATTCAAATTTAGGGGTACCGTTAATTTCTTCATGATCCAATCATCGGATCTCTAAAACAAATATCGGGACGACCTTGAGGTACTATCTTTCTAATAAAAAAAGGATTATTGAAAACGGTTCACTTGGTCCAAAGTTATGTATTCCGGCGAGATGATAACCTCCCTTTTTTTTGAAGTCGGTTAAAAGCGTTTGAGTTCTGTTAATCTGTAAATAAAGTGCAGTTTATGAATTTTAAAACGTTTACTAATTTATTACATACTGTACATAAAACTTGCATAAATGTATTTTAAAGAGGGTATTATCTGAAGCAAATTTTCAGTATTTTCCGGTGATATATCTTCAGAAATATAAAAATATATTCCTGGGTGCGCCCCTGGTAGGTATATATAATTATCCATGGGCGTAGCCAGAACCAAATTTAGGGGGGCCGCCTATTAACAACAAAAATTTCAAAACCAATAACTTTTATTTACTAAAAACTTGTTGATTGTAGCTTCAAATTATTGTAACCACATAAACGGAAGTTCACAATAGTTGATATAACTAAAACTTTTCATCGATTTAATTAGTTAACTTTTTACTGCGCATATTTTTTTACGAGCAGGAAGCATCGAAAGCCTAAAGGCTCTGTTATGCATACTTGGCATTGCATGCACTGCTATACCATTTTTACGTAGAAATCAAAAACCAACAGACTTTTACGTATGTAATGCTGTGCGTTGGGTAACCGCTTACACGCGAAGTTCATTTAACAGATTCCTTATGTGACAACGCTCAAGCAATGCCAAGTATGCATAACGGAGCCTTAAGGCCGAGGCCACGCAATGATCGGCTGAGCGGCGCCATACAGAAATGCCGCTCATTGCCTCGATGCAGCGAAACAAAGGTGGCGCATTCCGCGGACCGCTAATCCTTGCTTTTTCGACTTGACAGCATCCACCGTTTCGCTGACGCCACATTATTTTTTTGAGCTTTAGTGATGAATATTAAATATTCATATTGTACCTATTTGCCGAAAAGTTGTACCTAAAGGTAGATACACGTCCTAAACAGTAAACAAGTACTTTTATGTTCATATATTTTTGATTCCTTCCTCCTTCTGTACCGTAACAACTTTTGGACTTACATGAAACAATATTTTACTACGTTCCAAATGTACCTAAAATAATGTGATTGTACCGAATGTACGTTCAAATTTAAGAAGCTGAAGAGTGGGTACAATTCAACCTAGGTTTACATCACTATTTCGCACCACTTGTTCGCTTCTTCCTCTTCTTCCTCAAAATTGTTCGTTACACTCTCATTCTCATAATAGTGTGATGCAGTCTCACCAGATGGTCGCAAAAATCGAAGCTAAATTCGTTTACGGTTTTCTGTTAATAATTTCTTAAATAATTCTCATAAAAACACAGAATAACAACTTTCAGGCCAATAACGGTTACATAACTTCAATCTATGCAAAAAGAAGTTTAGGATAGGTAAAATGCAAAAATTTTAATATTTTCTTTATCATAGTACGCAAGTAGTACGCCAAAAATCAAATTGCAAAAATACGGTTTAAAGCAAAATTCTCTCAAAGAAATAGTACTTTGAACTCTTATTGTAATATTTTAACGATAGATAGTAGTTTTAGAAATATTGAAGCTTTTTACGAATCTTAGGTACTTATTTTTATAGTTCCAGGTCGAATTTTATTATGAATATTTTAATTTAAAAAAATGCCAGAAAAAAGCCACGAAGTCAGATCTAAATTTCTGAGGCTATGGCATCAAATTAAATGCTAAATCTAGCCTCGAAAAGGCTAACCTGGTCACACTGGTGTGATGTCACACGCAGTTGCTCTCAACTCGATTGGCGCAATCTAGTATTCTATGATTCTTCATTCGAAGTAGATAAAGAATTATTGGTGCACGCAGCTCTCACTACATTGCACACTTCTGGTCAAAGAAATGTTTCCAAAGTAAAGGTCAGTGTGCAGCTCTCAAGAAAACGGTCAAGGAAATATTGCCATTATTTCGTGTGTATGTCCAAAGAATTTTGACATCTGATGCTTCACCATTTGCTTCACAGTCAGTTGCCTCACTCTTTCCTCAAGAAAAAATGGAATGGGCATATATGGGGCAAACATGGGTTTTCTTGTGCTCTGTTTTTTCAAAAAAGTTTAGAATACCGTAGTGCAAGCGTACAAATTTCTTAAGAGCTGTATACAGCCTTAAGGAAATTTGACACAATAAAATGTCTTAGCCATTTCTTGTACGTCATTTTATATGGAGTTTTTGCTTTTCTTGAGAGCTGCATACTGGCATTAATAAAGGACCTAACAAAGAGTCCAAAGCGACCAACCAGTTTTATGTACATGTATGTATAGGGGTTCCGTAAAAGTGTTCAATAAGTAAAGAGGGGTTTAGGAAAATCAAGACGAATAAAACAGAGCTCAGGTGCGGAAGGGGATGGGTGTATTAAAAACTTTGGGGAGTTATAGGGGTAGAAAATAGTTGCCAGTACTTTTAGAAAAAAATTCTCATCTTAACGGTAAGTTCTGTAAAAATTTGGCTCTTAAGATTTTGTATACAGATAATGTCTTTAATTTTAAGGTTGTCTAGACAGGAGTTACCTCTGAAGATATTCATACAAAGTTGTCACCTATTCGAAATTATTTATAAGCTAAATATAACATCATACTGATTATCAAGTGAAACGTATTTTAAAAATCCCTACTTTCCATATTTTATGTATTTAATTTACTGTTTTAAAATTAAAATACAAAATTACTATTCGTGGGTACTAAAAGAAAGCTCCTAAACAATGTTTTGCCTATATATAAAGTGTTATCCCTGTGATAACCAAGTGAAAAAAGATCTTTGTGTGGGTTGTAAGACTTTATTTAATTCACGCTTACAACTTGTAAAATACAGATGGCTTACGTACTAAGATGTGTTTCGCACTTGGCTTGAGAAGAACGTCTAAGAAAATGTCAGAATCGATAGACGAACAACACCGCAAGTCGGAAAGGGTTAGAGTTGCCATTATATTGAAAATATATTATAAAGCACTATTTTATTACTTAGTACTTAGTACTCTACATATACCCCCCTTAGTCGTTCGTCCCATAACTTACTATACATTTGATTTATGCGATTAGTGCTTAATTTCTAGGTCTTAAGTTGTATCTTCTTTCAGAGACGGGCTAATGCAAATTGACAACTTCGTTTGCGGCCTTTTTTAAATCTTGTTCATTAACATTATTCGTAAAATTTTGTACAGGTAATGGCTGCGTATAATCGTTTAGGACAGGGGGTATACAAACATTTGTTTTGCTTGTTTTATAATCGTTACAATGCAGCATTTGGTTCGCGTGCCGTTTCCAGATTTTATCTGAATTTATTGGCTTTACCCGATAAGTCTGTTTTCCAATTTTATCTTTTACTTTACATTTTGTCCATGAAACTTTACCTGGCTTTGAATAATCTTTAACCAATGCGAAACTGTTAATACAAAATTTACAAAATTTAGATTTTTTGTTACCTTTATTATAATTCTTTTGTATATCTCGATTCCTAGCAACATTTTCCTGAACTTGTTCTAATTCTACAACTTCTGCTTTACGCTTAGGATTTATTAGGTCCAACCTAGTGCGAAGCTTTCTTTTAAACATCAACTGAGCTGGAGCTACACCAGTACTTAAATGTTTCGCGTCGCGGTAATCAAGTAAAAATCTACACAACATTGTTGAAAAATATGAAGGGTCGACCTGGTACAAACTTTTCTTTAGCGCATTCTTTATAGTTTTAACTGTATTTTTTGCTTAGCCATTAGTAGCCGGGTAACCCACTGGAGATGTAATATGGCGTATACCATTTAATGCAGTGAACTCTTTAAACTCTTGTGACACAAAAGGCGCACCGTTATCCAAAATTATTTCGTTTGGTAAGCCAAACCGTGCGAATAATTCCTTCAAAGCAAGGATAGTACTTCGAGCTGTGGTACTCGTACCCATATCGATGCACTCGACCCACTTAGTGTAGCTCTCCACTACAACAAGACACCAACGCTTCACAAAAGGTCCAAAAAAATCGATATGAATACGATGCCACGGCCGCTTCGGCCATTTCCATTTTAGCAATTCATTTTTTGGTGGATTATTTCTATGCTTAAGACAAGATTCGCAATTTTTTACCGCTTCTTATAAATCATTGCTTTGACCAGGCCACCAACAAATCTCTCTAGCCATGGATTTGATTTTATTTATTCCCATATGTGTCTGGTGTAAAGCATTGCAAACTTGTTCTTGGAGAATTTTTGGGACAATTATTCTATACCCCCAAAAGAGACATCCTTCTTCTTCGTAGATTTCAAAGCTACGCGCAAAAAATTGTT